TTTTATAGTTTAAATTTATAAGAAAAAACATACCAAATTATTCAAACTTTCGTGAGACATTATAATAAACTTATATGAAAACGGCTAAACACTCAAGTATATTCGTCCAGTGGCGGCACCGACTAGTTTCGACCCCATCGGGGGCCCTTCATCAGAGTGAGTGGGACTAAATTATGGTAAAAAAAATACTGTAAAGTTGAAATTGGTTAAAGTTTAAGTTTAATACGGCGTTCATTTAATATACTAAAAGTTGGATTCCGAGATTAAACTCTTTATAAAACATATCGCAATCACCGTCATTATCTTTGACAAAACAGAGATAACGATGTTTTAAAAGATTGTGGTGTCAGAAACCCACGATAAAATATATTTCACGATGTATCAGTTTGTTTAAATCATTAACGATGCGATTTTTCTTTAGATTACATTTTGCAATATTTATTTTATTCCCCGTCCGCTACAGAATAACAAACAGTTGTAAAACTTCTGCAACGTTCACAGAATACAAAATACAATTGAAAATTGAAGAATACCCATTGTAAACGAACTAACGTCTTTGTAATAATACAATGCTCTATCAATGAATACGGTATATTGAATACGAGTTACATGCAACTTTTTTATTCGTAAACTGATATATTTGTTATGTCGTACGTCGACATTTCATTTCAATATCTAAGTGTAATTCCGATGCCAAAATATATAATAATAGCTCCTACGCAAACTCCCAGAAAAAGATCAAACTTCACAAGAGAGCACTTTTAATATGTCCAAAATGCTTTTTATGTTACATCTCGTACACTATTTTTACAATCTTAATTGCAACGTTACTCGACAACGAGCTTGAATCGAATGTTCGATAAGGTTTAATGCATGACTAATTTGTTCATATGTTTATTTGTTCAAATTTTTATTCTTAATCTAGCCAAAAAAAATGTTTGATAATATAGAATACGACAAAATAAACCCATTATTATAATAATTGGAAAAAAGGCTTAAGCAGCAGTTACGCATCTGTACGTGGAAGCCATGGATATTGTTGTACCGTATTTTTTTCAAAAAGAATTAAAAGGAATAGCAGTATCCTTTATTATATTAATACTTCGTCAACTTGAATAACAAAGAGGATATGAAAAAAGAGTCTTTATACTTCCAAATGATATGACATTTCCTTAGAGATTCTATCTAGTTGAAAAACCTGTTTTCAGAGCACCGTCTGTCGATTGAGGTGGTTATTACCACGGTAGAAGTGCACAAGAATCTATTCTATGAATAATAATGGAAATGTCCCGAGTTGAAATTTCATAAAGTAAAAGTTGTGAAAGTTGGTTCTGATATAGAATTTATAAAAGTCTTGTTTTAGATCGATTTCTTAATAACGGCGGTGTCCGTTCCGACAGAGTCGAGCAATATCGGCCGACGATATTGGCAATGCGCTAAGAATATTAATCAGTCGAGTACACCGCTACGGACTCAGCGGTCTCCGTGACTTCAATTTGGTTATAAAACTAGGGAGAACTGACAGGATTCGCATCAGTTGAGTAAATTACAAAATTGCATCACCGAAATAGGAATCGATTTTTTTTTATAATCTGTTAAATCTAGTCTGAACATCAATCAACGTAGTGTTGATTATTGTAATGCCTTTTTATTTTATATATTGAATATTTTACTAACAAATAAACAATACATCATTAATGATACTAAAAGAACCTGGCATGAGAGAAATGTTAATTTTTATTGTTAAAGATAGAAGATATATTACTGTGCTGGCCTAGTATGAATATTAGTGACAACTGACCTTGTAGCGTCATCGACATAAATTTGTTTTGTAATGTGTGCAGCGTGTGCAGACCAAAAATGTCAAAACTGATATAAAAACGGCTAAACACTCACGTTTATTCTTCCGGTGGCGGATCATCTATCGGGATGAGTGGTACTGGTATTATTTCGCGGACGCGGCCCTTCGCTCACTCAGTGAGTGTTTAGCCGTTTTTATATCAGTTTAGTATAATGTCTCACGAAAGTTTGAATAATTTAATACCAAAAATGTCATACTTTTTTTTGATGATAACAATATGAAGGCACTTTTCGCAAATATGCGTGCTAGGCCCGCTGTTGCCAATAGTATGCGTAAGAGCATAACTCGCGTACTGCTGTCAACCCTAGCAACATGCTCAAGGGGTTTTTATACACCTACTTGTAAGGGAAAACTACATACAATGATGGGTTTTTGTTAATTACCTACTACAAGGATAGCAACCAGTTTGCTACCAATTTTAATTCATATTGATCTTATGCTTTTATTAATTGGGTCGGAATAAAATCTGGTAGAATACAAAACTTGTATGCGACGCAATAATAAGTAGAATTTATCCAAGACGTTGCGACGGGCGAGCGTGTTTTGATTTATGCAAAGCGTTCTTACCTGCGTGCGAATTATTGCCGGTTAGCTGCCGCACCTGCGTCTATTACGTTTTGTACTTAATATACTTCTTGTACAGTTCATTTGTAATAAATAATAAAAGTATTATGGATGTTGAGTAAGTTTTATTGCGGATTATTCAAATGCGTAAATCCATGTCTTAAATTGTTTCCGATATTTATGAAGCGAATCTTTACATTATGGTTATTTCTTTCATTTATTATTCATTTGTTTCATTGTTGCGTTTACTTAGAACTTAGAACAGGACTTCATAATCAAAACCTAATGTAGGTTTCGGTAAAGTTAACGGTAAAGTTCTGTGAAACAGATCGTTGCCACGTTTAAATGTAATTTAACACCTACTATCTTTTACTTTATTCAAAATGTGTGATATTTGTACTAAAGTAATTTAATTGATATTTTTAGTTATTTTCGATTGAATTATATTTAATTTGAGTGAATTTTTGTCTATAGTTTTCATATTCTAAAACTTCTTTATTCTTCTCCATTCCGATCACGTTATAATTTCAACGACAATGAACTTACAATTCCAAAATATCTTACCAAGTTATAATAACTAGAAAGTGCCGTTAAACATTTTGGCAGCATTTGACAATAAAGGGGCTTTAGTGAGATGGAACGGAGGCGACAACATTGTTTGAGACGTGCCGCGATCTCTCTACCCGCTCGTTTTACACATTTTTATTTTTTCATGATAGCTGTTTGCTTTAAGAGACATTTATATTGTACTACATTAATCATTTTAATGCTATTTTTACTAATGATAAAAGCGTGTTTTATTACATTATCTCATTTTAATATACTTTCATTTGCACTCATAGTACAGGCGTTTAATAGCCACTAACTGCTTTATTGTGCAAATTTAGTGTGTTAAACGTTTCTGAGTGCAGTTTATTAAAATGGAATCAGCGTGATTGATTTTAAAATACTATAGTATTGAAATTTAGTATTTAGAATAAAAGTTCTTCTCCAACTTACCTATTACTTTGTTTTTATAATAATTTTAATAGATTTTTACATAAACGTTAGCCTCATTAAGTCTCTTGAGTACCCCGTCTGCTAGATGTTGATTGATGACACTGCCTTAGGATATTTTAATGAAAGATTTTCGATCAACTGTGGATTAAAAGATTGAAAAGATAAGTAAATGGTTAAGCTAATTATAATGAAATATCTGAAATGAGAGATTATTTGAGTTATTTCGTTAATGATTCATGTTATAATTAATTTGATTGACATTCGGAGTTCGGGTATAAACTTAATGATCCAAGTTATTAGTCTTCTCTACACATCGGTTGAAATTAATCAATAAGTCTGTATTAATTGTAGAGGTTTTTGTTGTTTTAACAGTGGTAGAGCCCGCTTTAACATCTTCGCACGTATTGGCCAGGTTCGCCCGGTGAAATACCACGACCACACAGAAGACAGGCGTGAAGTGGAAGCTATTCCGCGTTTCGTCTGATGAGAGTGCGTGCCGGAGGCCTTATATAGTCCTCTTTCCCTTCCCACCCTTTTTCTTATAAGGGAAGGATGGGAAGTGGAATTGGACTTTCCGGATGAGAGGATGCATGCGATTTCAGGTGGCCGCTCGCTCGTTTGCCACCTTTAGATATAAAAAAAGAGGTAGAAGTTGGATTTATGACATTTTTAATATAAAAACAAATTATCATTGCCTTGACGTTTTTCCACTCATATGGGGTCCATAAGGTTTTATAAATCTTAAAGTCTTAGTTTACATTTTACGGCAGTTCGCCTACCTGTTACTAACTCTATTTGGGAGGAGTAAATTAAATATTTGTTTTTTACAAAAAATAATAAAGAAGCATGTAATTAGGAACTAAACGATTATAGCTAAATATTTGTAAAAATACGCCAACAATAAATAATTAACAATGAGTTAAATATTATAAATAGCAAAACTTTAAACTTGTACCTTGGTAGTCATTATCATACAGAATTGATTCAATGATAAATTCAAAGCTAAAAATAAATTATCAAGTTAATTAATATTCCTGAGTTGTGATTTAGCCGAGTGCCGTATATTCAGATACCAATATATTCAGTCAAGTAAATTTTTTATTTAACATCATTTATATTTGTAAGTAAACGATTGATCGAATTGTACGCGGTGTTGTAAAGCCTTAGATCCGAATTACCTAAAGCCATTTTCAATTATTGACTTTCAATCATTGGAAATTGATTTGCGACGGAATTGCAGTCGGAAATACCGAATCAATCCGGCCAATTTGACGATGACGAGCTCCGACGGAATAGAGAATTTCGGAGTTTGTCTCCAAACGTCTACCGATTCAAGCCTCTTGTAATGTTGTATTACGTACGAAATATTATTGCGCCAAGAGCTTGAAATTGTTGTTCAAAGTAATTGAATTATTATATAATTACTGAGATGCACAAAGGAGTTTTAACACTTTTAGAAAAGAAAAGGCGGTTTTTTAAAGTTTCTTTCACCTTATATTTACAACAATATTTTTTATTTCCATTAATTGTTTAGCTTATGTATATGTGTACTCATAGGGATTATTCTTTGTTACAGGCGGTCCAGTGCTGGTTTGCTAGCATCGCAACTGTCATGTCAGGGCACGTCTACAGCGAGAGAGTCCGCGCCGTCCCATCCGGCACCACCGTCACCGCCTCGTATCGTGTCCGCACCACCTCCCGTCGCCAATCCGCCACCCGACCAAGTACCGCAGCCCGCGCAAGAAGACGGCGTCAGATTGCGACGAGCGCACACTGTCGCGGTACGAGACTATTTGAAAAGAGAAACGCAAACATTCTTTGGAGTCCAGAGAGATAATGAGAGGGAACAAAGGAGACTGTGGTATGAGAGGAGGAGGCGGCACGCGGCGAGAGCACTCGGCGATCTCCGACTTGACCTCCCACCAGATTATCACCCTGATGATGACGATATTAGGTCAGTACTATAATATATTGAGCAGTATCCTTATAAGTAATATTGCAGTTGGTTTATTTTAGTAAATTATTCTTTGGTCAGTACTTCAATAATCCAATAATCATGCCTGCAAATAGGATCTACTGTAGAGAGAGATACGAGAAATACTGTAGTAAAAATGATATAAATATTTTGTTTTTTAAGAAAGAAGCAATATTAAGTCGTCTTTTCTTAGCTTTCCAATAAAACAACTGCAATTCTAAAGCAACGGGTCACTTGGCCGGTATAAACTGAAGCTGAAAATTTAATTTACTTCCTCCATTCCATTCTTCAGTATCAGACTATCGTGTGCCAATAACATTTCTTATCAAATCAGCCTTTCAATTCCATTTATTTTTATTACAACTTGGTACCTTTATTGATACTTAATACTTAGAACTTTAATCAATGAAAAATATTTCTTTTAAAGTATTCCAACTTAAATCCATTTAAAAATGGAAAAGTTTCCCTTTTACGCATTTATAGCAATATTTAACGCCTATTCTCCGTTTTAAAACATGGGTACTACTTGTATGTTATTCTATATATAAAAAAATCAATTGCTCTTTAGTCTCGCTAAAACTCGAGAACGGCTGAACGGATTTATCTTATTTTGGTCTTGAAATGTTAGTGGAGGTCTAGAGAAGGTTTAAAAGGTGAGAAAAACTCGAATAATTGCCAGGAACTAGTTAAGTTTTTTTTCATTCCACGCGGACGGAGTCGCGGGTGACAGCTAGTATTAAATAAAAAATATCAAATACGTGTTCTTTGTGAAATACTTTTAAAAGCAAACGCTTAAACTTGTAAGGTAAATATTTTAGTTTAAAAGGATAGATACATTAAGCGTTAATGCTCATTCCTAAAACATCTAAATCAGGCGCAAACGGCGGAGAACTACGTACGAGCAATATTTATGTGTTGTACTCGTGTTTAAACAGTACAAACAATGTTTGCTATTCACCATCGCGCAATCAAGTTCCTAATGAAAATACCGGAATTAATTCAGAATGCTAAATTACCTATTAAATTCAAATCTATTATACTGTTTCAAATGTACTTTCTTAAATTCTGTATAAGAATATCGTGTGTCGTCGCTGGACTGATTTTTATTGAAAATTGGTAAAAAAAGTAGCTTAGAACAAGGCGACGGACATGAGATAGTGTTTCCTCTGTTTTTTTTTAATAACGCGTTGATTGAATCGCAGACATAAGCTAGTAATTTACAAATTTTGTCAAGAATATATGCGATTTTACTGGATGAAATTTGGAGGCAACGTAGTAACTTATTTTATTGATATAATGAGTAACATTGTTAGTTTTATAAATGATTGTATTTACTAATACCGTATAATGCCGAAAAAAAAGAGTAAAGAAGGCAATTACACATTTCTTTCCCACTACAAAGAATTTCAATTGTTGAGAGCCACAGTATTCAATTATTAATAGCAATTTTAGCGACGGACAAATTAATTAGTTGTTCACGTTAACCAAACTAACATTAGTAGTCAAAGTATGAAAGAGTGAATATGTCGCTCGACCCCGGAGACCTAGCGCAGGCTGGCAGCTTATTAATGTACTTGTTAATTCCTGACTGCGTCGGAAACTTTGTATGCTCCCCGCATCTGAAACTTTGGTAGCTCCGCGACTAATTCGACGTAGGTGCTTGTTACAGTTAGTAAGATTCTCCGCAAGTTACACTTGTAGTTCGCTTTCTGATTATTTACCTCATAATTGAGAAATCAAGTAAATTGTTCCTAAACGGTCCATGTTTTTGTTTTTAAATGATTTTAATTTAATGCTATATTTACGTGATACGTTATATTATTGAATTTAACATACAAAAAGACATCCATTTAGTTTAATCGCTGACATGAAAAAAATAAAGCTGTCCTGCGTAGGCCGTCGACCTATATTTTCTCATATTTGTGAGGGCGTGCTCTGACAAGCTTAGCTGAAAATATTTATTAGACAGGATCTCCTAAGTTATGCCCGTCGTGAAGAGTTTCGCTAAACTTGGAAGTTCTAGAGTCATATATCAATGCTGTAGAAATAATTACTAAGATGTACATCTTATATATAAAATTCTCGTGCCACATTTTTCGTTCCCATACTCCTCCGAAACGGATTGACCGATTTTCATGAAATTTTGTGAGCATATTGAGTAGGTCTGAGAATCGGCCAACATCTATTTTTCATCCCCCTAAATGTTAAGGGTAGTTCACCTCTAAATTTTTATTTTTTAGACAAACACGCGGACGGAGTCGCGGGCGACAGCTAGTTATACATAAAATTTATCGTCGACTAACATAACATTGATATTGAAGTGGATTTTATATAAAACTAGCTGTTGCCCTTAAGTCCGTCCGCGCGAGATAGTAGCCGATTCTCAGACCTATTGAATATGTATATAAAATTTCATAAAAATCGGTCAAGCCGTTTCGAAGTATGGTAACTAACATTGTGACACGAGAATTTTATAAATAGTGAACAATAAACCTTTTAGCTTAATATCTACGTATGATAAAAGTTATGGAATTATTTCTTTTATTTTATATTAGCAAATATTTTTTTATTAAAATATACTTTTATAATAGCAATGTTTTCTTTAGGACTAATTAAAAATGTGTGTTAATATTCTTGGTATTTATTTAAATGAATCGTAGCCGCAAACGATACGCGAGAAATACGTTCCCCGCTGTTGCATCCTTTAAAAATTCCATATACAGAGAGCTGTGGATGCAGTAAAATAAAATAATCACACATACACGCACAACGGTTGCGCAGTTAATGCAAATTTATTTTATCAGGCGCTACTTTTTTTAAATTTCCTCGCAGTTCGTTCTATATCGTTAGTTTTAATACATTGAAATAATAAATGTACTCGTTAATGTAATGAAAACCGTATGAGCTTATGTATTCGTTCATACAATTTGAACTACAAAGTTTAACACGCAATATATGAAAGGAACAACGGTAAAAAACTAAGAAAATTAAAAATTTATGTCTTCACCTAGTCTTTTTATCTTAAAACCTGTACGAAAACATCGCGTTAGAGTCTCATTACTTTAATAAAAAGGGTACTAATATTCTTCAAAACCAAGTATTGGTGCGTTACATTAAGTATAAAATTATTTCCGTCATCTTAAAGGGGCCTTTTCCTTGTAAAGTTGGTGCCAGATGATTTTAAGACTTGCTATACAATTGCCTAGGAATTGTTCAGTACAATAAAATTAAAACTCAACAGATAAATTAAATAGTTAACTCTAGTACTGCTGTTTATATTAAAAACTAGCTGTTGCCCACGACTCCGCCCGCGCAGAATTAAAAAACAAATAGCCTATGTATTCTTCCAGACTAAGTACTACATATGTGCCAAATTTCATCAATATCCATTGAGCCGTTGCGAAGATACCTTCAAACAAACATCTATCCATCCATCCATATATTTGCATTTATAATATTAGTAAGGTGTATTTAAATGTACAGGTGTAATAAAGTTAATGTGGGAAACGGAACGCATTGTCTTAAAGGTTCATTGATATTATCCTTCCATTTAAACCGGAGTAATATCGTTTCACTGAGATATTGCAGTAGCCTCCAGTTTTATTGGGCTAGGGTTTCACAAATTGTTACGTTGGCCTCCATATTGTAAGTAAATATGTTTTGAAGGTTTGGTTTTAGTACTAGTTGTAGAGAGCCGAGTAATATTTTTTTAAATTTGTTTAACAAAGCTATTAATCAATCATCTCAAATGTGACGAAAACTTGCGAACTATTAATTATGTAGTTGTATAAAAACGTTAAATTGTACCAAAAAAATATCGTGTACCGGACGCCTATATTTTATAGCTAGCTTTCGCCCGCGACTTCCTACTTAGAATTAAAAAAAATAACTTAATTAAGTATGTGTTCTACATCTACGCGAAATTTCAGCAAGATCAATACAGCTGTTCTAGAGATACCTTGTAAGAAACATCCATCCATATGATCATTACCATTTATAATATTAGCAAGATTCATTATACATTTTCAAATATAAGTTGTTTAAATTACCGAATTCCTATAATTAATTATTCATTAAATTTGGGTAAATAAAACAAGAAGCAACATTTGTTTCCGTTTTTAAAGATCAAATTCAACCGCGACTCCCTCGAGTTATTCTCGAAATTTAGGTTGCGCGACGGAAAATTTCGAATGCTCCACATTTTCTACGAATTCTGACAGAAATGTTCAGAGATTTTTCTCTTCTAAAGTAAGAACAAAATTTGGATCTTTCGGATTTAGTGTCTCAAGATTTTTAACATGAATTATTTTATATAAATTTATATGGTCATAAATGTTGAAAATAAAACTAAATTTTATTGAAATTGTTAAATACTGTTTGGCAGTTGTTTTGTAAAATTAAATTTGTTTTTGTATCACGTAGTTGTGGTTTCTAGATAGCTAGTCTATTCTGATTTAATTGATGTATTAATTGAGATTGTAGAACAAACACAAACACTAGGATAGAGTCTATCAAACTTATATTGTGTCTATTCCGTCGTATAGAAGATTGAATAATCAAAGATACAATGTTGAAAGATACGAATGGATGAACACACATTTTACATAATAGATGATATCGATTTTAAATTTCAATTTAAATGTCAGGTATCGTGTAGTTTTTATACGTTGATTAAAATTAAGTAACATTGTTTATTTATACTATAGAGACGTTAAAAAGGTTGATGAGCTGCATCTTTTTCCTGATATAACGTGAACCTAAACAATATGACATGTCTCAGACATGTATTTTTACCGTTAAAAGATTACGCGAATTTGTATTTATAGCAAAGCTTTCAACCGTAAGCAGGATTAAGAAACTTACCAAGAATCAACATAACTAGCTGCTTTAACTGAGGCTTAGTCTAAACTTATGAGAAATTTTACTAATATTATAAATGCGAATGTTTAGATCGATCCACGGATGGATTGATGGATGTTTGTTTGATGGTAACTCCAGAAAGACTTAACGAATGTCGATGAAATTTGGCATGGGCATGGGTGTAGAACATAGTCTGGAAGAACGTATAGACTACTTATTAAGTTTTTTTTTAAATGCGCACGAATGGAGTCGTGGGCGACAGCTAGTCTAAACTAAGGGAATTTCTTAACGACTCTCAGTATGGCTAAAGAGCATTTCAAAACAAATAGTTACTAATTTTGTGGAGACGTTAATAGATTGTTGTATCTTTTGTTGTTGGTTGCAGTATGTACGGTGCGTCTGGCGCGGCGCCAAGGGAGGCGCGGGGGCGCGGGCGGGAGCGGCCCGACGTATTACCCGCGCCTGCTCCCGCTGACACCGGGCCCGCACCGCCTCTGCCGCCTCTCCCGCCTCCCGGAAAGGACTCCGTGGCGAGGCTCACACTCACAGGACTTTCTTATGTTGTTACGGTTTGTATAATTTATTTAACATGGCTTCGCCGACACTGACCCGAACACATCGACGTCAAAGCCCATAGCCATAGTGAGGACGTGACAGTACTATACGGCCGTGTCATTCGTGGAAGGGATGTTGTTAGCTTTTAGTGGGATGATCGGAGAACACCAGCAATGTAAATGTTCAATATATTTGTTTTATATAAGCAATGTGTTCAGAAAATAATATATAGTATTAATATTTTAAAAACATGAAACACAGATGGACTTTAAAGATACAAATGACGCAAAATGTTTACGACCTAATACTATTTCGTATTAACCTTTGACTAATTAAGTTGAGCGAACTTTGGTTTATAATTAAAACTTAAGTCGCAACGGGATTTATATAACATAATTAATAGGACACAAATATATACGATACGTACAAGTTGTTATGTTTAATGTTTAACTTTTATCGTAGGTCACTTTGACCACCAAGTTGTTGAAATCCTTATACTAAAACTCATATACATATTTACATATAGTATTAATACATCGAAATTTATTTACTACTAAGCTCTTGTTGAACACACTTCCCGCGCTAATCACTTCTCTCTTTTTATTCTTTACCTTTTTTACATAATTAAAAAAGTTCTTACTAGCCAGTATGCCACATCATTGGTAGAATGTATTAACTCTGCACCTAACATTGTATCTGCCTAATAATAAATCAATTTGAGTATGTAAGTTTTTATATAAACCATGTATAACGACATCCGATTCTGATGAATGAGATGTCATTCTATTCATAATCCTTCCCTGTCATAGTACTACATTCAGTCGGGTTTTATGTTTCTTTAAATATCAAATGGTGTATATTTCCATAAAAGAAAGTCCATACAGTCATTACGCTAAGCAGAACAATGAGCTTAAGTGGTCCAGTCGAATGAATTCCTAAATGAATTGCACTCTACGATAGCTACCGAAGCTTAACTTTAAATTAATGTTAGTTGCGAACATGTCTAGATAATTGCGGGATTTAAAATGCCGACATTAACTTTTATATGAAAAATAAAAACACATACGAAATCTTGTAATTGCTAATGTTTAATACGGTGGGCGGTATCACAAAATAAAACGATTGATCTACACTAGTATATTACAATTTTCACATTAACATCAATTCAGTGACATTTTCGAATAAAATGCCACAATGATTTAAATACTGGTTACTTAATCTACTGATCTTTAGCTTTAATAGCTTATAACTTTCTAGAAGTATAACTCAAAAGTCGCCGAAAGAGTAAGAATTTTTAACACGATAAGGAATAAGTTTAATTTTTACAGTAACTTGATATAACATTGATTCTAAGATAACATACAGAAATCACTAAACGTATATAATATTGCGTTAACACTGTAGTATTTTACTTGTCTTTATTTAATTGCTTCTTTTAAAGAGTTTTCAATTGAGGTTGCATCTAAACTTTAACTTTTATTATGTAAAACTGTTTATTGTACATAATATGCCTTATGTATCTAGTAACACTATCTCTATGGCTTGCTCCCACCTGAAAATGCTGTTAATTAAAACTACTTACATATTTCTGAACGACACTTAGTTCCAAACTAAAAACTAAGCTAATTTGTTAGGTAAGTTTAATCTGTAAAACCGACAGCGGCCATTATGACCACAGGTGGCGTAGTTAGCTCTTAACCTACTTTTATAGGTTGAGTATTTAAGTTAGTAAATAACTAGCGGTGAAGTTCTATAACTTATTAGTAAATAATAAAAGGATTACATAATTTAAAATATGATTACACAAAGAAAACACTATTTAATCTTTACTTAAAACACTTACTTAGAAGTAACTTATTTTTAGCTTCCTTTGTAACATATGTACTGTTAGGAAAAAAATCTGACACTCTGCCGGTGCACCATCGCAACACTAGCTTTATTACAATGTCAACGTTTATGTCGCTTCACTAATCTTTGTGATACTTGACTTCGTAACGAAAGTGCGCCATTCGGGCCAAATGATTCTAACTAATAATGTCTAAAAGTACGTACGTAGTATGTAAATAAAGCGTAGTTACTCATAAACTTATAGACAAAGAACAAAATTGTAAGGCAATGGTAAAATTTACTCGGACAATTCCACGAAAATGTTCTATTTATTAAGAGCCGTGTATTAAAATGTCCAAGTTCATCTAAAAACCAGGTGGTTTCGAAAAAAATAGAGCATCTTATGATTCCAATTCCATTATTGATATTGAGCTGTGTACTTGCTTATTGAATTCATTCCCTTTTAAATAAGATCAAAAATAAATTCATTCATGAAAGTCGGTCAAAAGAAGGACTGCAATTCTTCCAGCATTACATCAAATGGACAACCCTTATGCATAATTCTAGTGGGTCTCTCGCCTTTCAAGAATTCCTTGTCATTTTATTTTATATTTATATTCATTTCTACGTCACAGAAACAATTTATTGCGTCATTCTTTATTCATCAATACAAAACCGAAATATATTTTACGTTTATTGATATATTTTTTGTATAAAATCGTACGATTGGGAATGTCTATCCTGTCGTATATACAAATGTACTTTCAAAGCTCTTCTTTGTTAATTCTTTAATTAATTATTGTTGTTTAACAATAAATAGTACCGTACACTAAAATATGTGTACTTTTTTACGTTTATGTTTTACTTGTTTTGATTACGTTGTTATAAAACTTAACACTAGCTACACTTTCGTTGTGATATTCTATTTTAAATATCATCGTCAATGTTATGTATTTTAATAGACTATCAAGTAGCATCCAGTGGGATAAGTTTTTACTTTGTAACTACGGTGCTACGATGCTACGAAGCTACGAAGTTCTTCGTAGCGTTAGGTATTTTTTCTCAATGTTTGAAGTAAAATGGTTTTTATTTGAACATAGTTTTTAATAATGTTTAATAAATGTTTAAGATATATACCAATTTACTTCAATTACTAGTAGCCACAAATAGCATATTATTTAAAGTCTTAATAAATAAAACTCTACGATTGCCCTCTACACTAGTAAGCTTATGTAATTTATTATTAAAAAAATCGGTAATCCTTTTTCGGTGACACATGAAACGACAATTACGGGCCATATTTTATTACTAATCGGGTAACAACATAAAAACTGCTCTGTAATTCAAGCTACTAGGACATAAAATGTCTCCCAGTTTTTATATAAAATTACATACGCACGATAAAAATGATGTTACTATTGATTCATGTAACCCGAGCCTCTAATAATTTCTCTCTTTAGTATGTTCCAAATATGGGACGAACGAATTAGGCCACAATATTTCCGAACGATAAATTATAAAAGCGATGTCTTTGGGGATCGGCTCGAGCGTTATGGCCGTCGTAAATAATGGCTAGAGACGTCGTGTACCCGCCAATATCTACGGAAGGAACTCGTCTGTGACACCGCGAAATACAACTGCTTCCCTTGCAAGAACTCTACTGGTATTTTGGATATTACTAAAAGCTTTAAATCTAATAGACAGGACAATACGAACGAAATTGGCAACCACGACATGTTAGGTATTTGTTTACCTTATTAACATGTATCCTTAAAGTTTAGAAATGTTGCGAATGCCCATTGTAATTAATTTATTTGAATATTAAAAACATCAACGGCAACGGAAGCGACATTTATGACTTTTTCACCCTCTTGTGTAACATATTGCAATTGACCTTTACGTCCTACAAAGGTAACCTTTTAAACTTCAAAGACAGTACAAGAATATTACTTTGAAAGACAAATTAAATTGTCTTTATAATGTTAAGTTACATCAAAAGGCTTATTCAATTTTTAATACAACATGTACATTAATTTAAAGGTGAAGTCGAATTGCCTTTTTAATCTAATATTTTATTTTATTTCGGTTATTTTCGTAATATTTATGCAAGTTTCACTTATGTTGTTGCAGGCGGTGACGAGGAGGTCGCGGCAATCGACGTCGGTGCAGTGGTCGCGCTCGTTCCGCGGCAGCGTGCCCCCCCAGGTCGATGACGATATCGATGACGTCTTCTTTGCCCCCGTTTCTATGACGTCACCTATCAACCAACACCATCACGATGAGGCCGACATCGCTGATGGGCCGAAAGGGTAACTATTTAATAAATAATCTTCCCTCATCTATGGCCTAGTGCGGTGTACTCGTGTTCAAAATTATCAGCTGTTTATTAGTTACTTTAGTCGTGAAAATATATGTCTATTGGCAACCCTAACAGTGGTTACCGTCCTCTGCTAAATACGGGGATCAAAACAAGTTTGTATTACCTAAGGTACATCGAGCAAAAGTGTTCTTGTATTCTGGTCTATTTCGATTAAGTTTTAACACTTTTTTTTTACTTTTAATTTCTCTGAAGTTGTACATGTGTCTGATATATAAATAAAGTCGAGTGATATTTCCAATATAGCGTGAAAGAAAATCTATCAAAACGATGTTGACAAAATAATATAAAAACTATGTCGATTTAATTGTTTTCGATTTAAAACAATTGAAATACAATCACAAAGCAATTTTTAGATATTTATTGGCTTATGTTAACAAAAAAGAAAAACGCTACAATTACGTGAAAGTTGCTACGTCTAATATCCTATAATAATAACCCATCGATCACTTGTATGTAACGACAGAGTTCCATGAAATGGTAAAACGTATTTTTCTATCTGACATTTGAAACGTCAAGAAAGTAATTAAGTTAATGAATGTGTTTCTTGCAAGTAAAATGCATACCACAGTTAAATGTAGAACATCTTCCAAGGTTATGTTGATTACTGCTCCTGTTTAATACAAGTATGTGTTATGTCCATACTATTTAAATAGTAAATATAATTTCAAAATGAAGAAAATAAAAATCGTCATAACCAATCTATTCACGAAGAGATGATGTTAACAATTTAAATTACTACATTCATATTATGTAAACTGTATTATCAGAATCATTTTTTTAAAGTAATTTATATGAGTTTTTATAATTTAAATTGCTGAAATTCAACTAAGAGAAATTTCTAATACATCAGTCATTCAATTTGAATTGACTTTTTTATTATATCTGCATTTTATCTGCAAGCTTCATATAGCAGTGATAATAACCATTGTGTTTGAAAATCCTTTTTATAATTTTCAATACGTGATCTATTCTATCGAATGGAAAAAATAGTGTCGCAGCAAGTAGTAATATCCTTTGTTTGAATCATAAAGTGTTATTAATGTCTGTAGTTAGTGAAGCCAAGCCTGGCGACGCACAACTAAAGCTGGCTACACACCATCAGTTTTAACCGCACGTTACGTTAAGTAACTGATTAGACTGTTAAAATTAATATGCTCAGTTAAAAAAATTAAACTTGTTACCCGCTTAGGAAAGAATATCATGCAGTAAAATAAAAGAGCTATAATTTAGTTCCAATGTGTATGTTACAACTAGCTGTTGCACGCGACTCCGTCCGCGAGGGATTAAAAAAAACTAGGCTATGTGTTCTTCCAGACTATTTTCTACATGTGGACCAAATTTCGTTAAGATTCATGCAGCTGTTCTGGACATAGCTTCAAACAAACATCCATCCAATAAACGTTCGCTATAATATTAGTAAGATATAAGGAGTAAAATAGTAAGATTGGTAAGATTTAAGTAATAATGATAAGTTTTTGATGAAATGACCTTTAACCGAAATGGATAGGAAATAATCGTTCTCGACTGTGCGTTTTAAGTGAACAGGGTGAATGTTTATTAAAGACTATTAGTACAGTTAAGACTGAATGTGTGTAGCCGGCTTTAGTTAATTGTGCTTAAGCCAGTGCCGAGCTCTTAATACATCGTCATGTTGCGCTAACTTGACAGATTAATTAGCTTCTAATTATAATAGTAGGTTTTACTGTGAACTCACCGACGAGACGGAAAGTTGTTTGCCAACTTATTGTTCAACTGTTTAATGATTGAACGCTATTGTGCGCAAAAGCAAATCGTCCTGCCATTTTAAATTTCCTTCAATTTCTCAATCGGTACTAATGTTGTGTTTAATTTGAATTTAATTTGTTATTAATCGTGAATTCCTTCTTATTATTACGTAATGTTGATTTGTTACTCAATGTACTGTTTATTTTATGCATTCATTAACTAAGAGTCATAAATTACTCATAGCTGTTAATATTTTCATTCTAGTCATTGGTTTCTGAGGCCAAAATCTCTGTATAAAACATATTTTAATCGCTGTCAATATGTTTGAAAAAACAGAGAATAATGAGTTTTAAATAGGGAATTATGGTCTGGGAAACCTACAACAAGAGTGTAGGTTTATGTGGTTAAAGTTGCCATGGACCAATTCATGGGAGACAGTAGCTTATATACATGTATTTGCCAAGTAAATAAAATTCCCCAAAGTGAACTATGTCAAGACAATAGTGATAAATTGGCAATATACGAAATCGAGGCTGGAATACTTAATATGATGCGCATATGTAAGTTAGAACGGAGATTAAGTCCACGATTTCTGCGACCCTTGTCACATAGATCTGGGCGGAACGATATCTCCCGCGGATAAAGAAACTTTGCACACTTAATATTATTACACGGACATTATTGGATATCAATTATTCTTACAATTATCTTGTAATACAATTTGTCATAAAGTTAATATTATTAATGAATAATCTAACGATAACGTTTGTCATAGTGTAACGAAACTAGCCTAATTTGATTAAGGAGTCAACTTTCACTTATTATTACTATTCTGTTCCGAATACCCAACGATCTTTCTACTTTCTTTACTAAGAATAAAATTGAATTAGAAAGTTGCAGCTTAAAATTTATTAACATCGTCAGGCATTTTGAAAAGTAGTGTGGACTACAATACATCCATTTTAATTACTTTTTCCTTAACAGATAGTGCTGAATGGCAAAAAAGTTTCAGTCATTCGACGTGATTCCATTTGGATTTTGGACGAGCAGCTCATGAATGCAGCCTTTTTCGAATGTACATTTAGTGTTTGTGTTGACAGCGGTCGTTCGCCGGTGGTGTCTGGCGTGGAGTATAGGCGGCCGGAGAGGAGCGTCTCGTGGGGCGCGGGCGCGGTGTGCGGCGCGGGGGGAGCGCGCATACACACGCCCATGCTCGAGCCGTTGGCAGACAACTCGAATCGGAGGCAATTTGGCATGGGCATTGTCGGCAGATTTTTCCGGTGAGACTTTTGTGTATTTATGTATAGAGGCTTTTGAGAAGATGGATTTTTATTATTGTTTTTATATCTGATTTAGTAGAAAATCGTTATATGTTTTTTCAATGCAACAAATATAATCATGCTTATTTTTTTATATTTATCTTAGATTGTGAGATAGTAAGCAAGATGTTTAGCTATAAGCTATGTATCAATGCTATCATTTCATACTAACGTCGGCCTTACAAGAGGATAACAATAATACGGGCTTGATCCGTTTACGAATATATCACCTGTGCCCGCAATATATCACGGTGTTTACGCGCCCAGTTGCCATTTAAAAATTGCCTTAATGGGTTTTTGAATTAATACCGCGTGGACTTGACGCGGGATAATATTTATGGGATGACACTTTATGCCTTGATGCTTTATAAGTTATTAGGGTGGTTGTTGATGGTGATTACGTTATTTTTTTACGGTGACAGACAGCTAACGAGAAGCCACCTAAATTTAAATACTAAAATTAATGTTCGATGCTACAGATCGATCAAATGTTTTGATCACTTTGTTTAAAACGAAGTGCAAAAAATATTCGATCTCTCAGTAAACAATACATGCAATCGTTCCATTGGTTAAGCTTAAACCCACTTAGTTTGAGGAATATAATAATTGTGAGTTACTAAATAATTAACAACAAAACAAGTAAACAACAACCTGGTAAGAAAAGAAATTTGAAAAAAAGCAAGGTTAAACCGTTTAGCGCGGTTTTTTTAAACTTTACAAATAGACTTTGGTCTATTTTATATCCTCAGAAATCAATTAAAAAGTCCATAATATTCTACAAATGAAAGAGGTCAATGATGGTCGAAATATAGCCAGGTCACTAAAAATTAATAATAAATCCGTAGTACATTACGTTTAAAAAGAACTAAATATAAAATGTAGCTTTTGGTTTTGATGGTTATAATCCAATATTTTCAAACGGTATTCGTACATTTTTCTTAATCTTTGGTTCTATATTTTAAAACGTTTAATAATGCGTAAGTAAAAGCTCGCCTTGCAAATGGACTGTGAAAAAATTAAAACACATTTTCGAGTTTAAGGGACCCGTCGCCTCAAGGCAGAGGGGGAGGGGGTTTGGGCAAAAGAGCAGTAGGCAATTTACATTCGCCGAGGTCGCTAGACGAAAAACTCTTTGAGCAAAGATTTTTTTAACTTATTAATAAAATTTAAAACGTCCCTGTAAGCATACTGTTCTTTTGACGCAGAAAAAATATTTAATATGAAATCTGAATTTTTGCCTTTTCAATTTTTTTGGAACGATGTCGCTATGAAATTTTACGTTTATACATACGTGTAAACATGAAAATATTTTAGTCGCGGTTTTTATAAAATAAGTTTGGTACAGACGTTTGCTTGCTCGATTTTTTTTTGTTAAAAATACTAGCAGATTTTTTTGTAAATTTACTAATATTTCTTTTACCATTCCAACTAAGCTCTAGGCTTGTGCTAGGATATGGTTTACGGTAATAGTTGAATGACGGGATTCGAACCTCCGACCTCGTGATCGGAAATCCCTTAACCATTAGGCTATTGACACTTAAATTTAAAATTATTTGCTTATTGACTTGAAATAATTCTTAAATCATTTTTGAAGCGGCAAAAGAACTTTATTTTGTAAGATCTTGAAACAGTAAACCATTTTTGTGATTAATTCAAATGTAAACTTTGGAAAATTTAGTATTAAACTTAATTATTATGTAAATTACGTACGAGTTTGTATCTAACATAATTTGAAATATAAATTAGATCGCACGTTCGTCGTATCTACTGATTTACGAGGAGTGAATTCTGAATACAATTTTGTAAACAATGTGTCGCTCCGACTTGTCATGATCGTATTCATTGATCAGCAGTCTACTCCTGCCTCTATTGTTACTGCAACTTCGCACTGATTGAAGTTTGTATCATTGTTAAGTTTTTGTTCTACTTATATGTGTTCTACTTAATTCGTTAAATTTACTTACTATACTTCCAGTAGGCATCTTATGATTACGATTTGCCGCATTGCAGATTCAAAAAAATGTTTGCATTGAATGAAAATTACGTCAGTGGTCCATTTCATTTTCATAAAACTTCACAAGTTTACTACTTTTTAAAGATACTGGTCGATGACAATATAAAACTGGGTTGCTGTTTTAAATAGCTAATAATAAAATACGTCTTAGCTGCTTTGACAAATATCTAATTCTTGACTTATCTGCTTTCCAGACGTTCCTTACGTAAGTCAGTGACACACCAGGAGGAAATAGCACAGCAACTAGATGAGTTAACAGACTATCGGCCGTACTTCACGTGGTGGGTGAGCACAGTACAGACGTTGGTGTTGCTGCTCTCGCTGCTCTGCTATGGTTTTGGTCCAGTCGGCTTCGGCCGGCATACTCACACCGGACAGGTCATGGTTAAGAGCCTCAGCTTGCAACAGGTTAGTATATTTCTTCCCTTACTTTCTTTCTACTACTCTTGTCACTGTCAAAAGTAATGAGATTCACTGTGGATGTCTACAAAGATAGAGGAAGACTAAAAGAGGTATGGATGGACTGTGTGAAAGAGGAAATGGGTTAGAAGGGGGTAGATTCAGTTAAGACGGCTGATAGAGATGTATGGAGGCGTAGTACATACTGTGCCGACCCTCCATAGGGATAAGGGGTGGTTGATGACTCTAGTCACTGTTACTCCTGTTATTTTATCATTCTTGTCATGTTTATGTTCTCTCTTCTAACTATCTATAATGATAAACTAAAATGTATGTAACAGTTCAATGTTTTTGACCATCCAGATTCAGTTTGTGCCAAAACTTTGGTATTATACTTTATCTTATGAATTACAATATTTTGATGATGCCTAGAAGGAATTCTTAAAGAAAAGTCTACATTTTAATCTTTCCTGTTTAATGTGTCAAACATGCTGTAATATTATCTAGACATTTTTCATTTTTTTTTCACTCTTCTAAATTACACAAAATGCAACCCGTTGGTTAAGGTTAAGGTTAAGTTATTAAGTTTTCAAAAGTGGAACAGAATCATTAAAACACAAATATAATTATATATTATATTTTTCATTATAAATTCATAACATATGGTTTTTCAATGCATGCAGTAGTATACGAGTATGGAATGTAATAAAATTTTATTCACTAAATAAACGAACACGCGTTTTTACGTCGAAAGAGATATTAAAATACATAAATAAAACGTGTTATTGAGTTTGTACATTTATTATTGAGTTTGTATGTTTAAGTGAAATTGTAAATACGTGTTCTTTTTTAATTAATGTGCAGATTACTTTTGATTTAATTTTTTAATAACAAAGCGAACGTACGCTTTTAAAATAATTTTAATTTTAGCAATGACATAATAATGTTGTTTTTATTTAATTAATTTTGTTTATTAGTGGATATTTTATATATTAATATTAGAGGATTTTTGATATTTCATTAATATTTCTTTTAAGCATTCCTACAAAGCTTTAGCCTTGTACTAGGATATGGTTTATGGTAATAGTCGAAAGACGGGATTCAAAACGTCGATCACATGATCAGATATCCTTACCCTTAACAATTGTTATTATACATTTTTCTATATCAATTTTTTTTGAGCCAATGACTTTGCTTTTCTTTATTTAATAGAGTAATTTTACATATTTCTATTTATTCTGTGTTTTATTATATTAGTAAGTATATTTTTCTCGTATTATTTTACGAATAACGATTCAATTTTTTTTTACATAGAAGAAAAGGAAGGGAACTTTAAGTGGCTATAAAATAGACTTTAACTGTATGTGGATTGTGAAAGTACCTTAAAATGTAATGCGTACGCAACATTTACAGTTTCCAGTACATTGGCAATCGATGCTTACGTTGTTTACACTCCACTACGTTATTTTATTTACCGTCGCAAGATAAACACTGTCTCCTTGTTACTGTGCGGTGTATAGCATAGTATATTATCGATTGTCAATTTTAAATTCGAAATTATACCTTTTTTACAACAGTTTAAACACATATTGTGTGTCGAAATTATGAACTTAGATTTTTTTATTAAATTAATCCGTATAAAGCGTGTTAGTTTCACCTGGAACTTTTCCAGAGCGTAATTTTCTCCGTGTGAGTATTGCCGTAGCGAAACAAATTCGCATCTCGTGGGAGCTATGGCGCGTCGAGTCCCGAAATCCGTTTCTTTGTTTAAGACTTTAGCATAACAAGGTTAAATGACGCAAAGCTTTTAGACGGAACGAGTTCTCTCACATTTAAATCCGGAGATGGCGCTTTAGAGACAATGCACGATGTTTGGGGGATTTATAACAGGGCCAAGCTTATTCTGGGTGTCACGTACGCATTTAACGCCATTTATCTAATATACAAGTATTATAATATTTTAAATGCATACTTTCTAATTAGTTCATATTCAAATATCGAACGAAAATCTAACGTACCAGTCTTTAGATTTATTAATTTTACTTTTAATTAAAGTAGACATGGCCTTAAAACATGGTGGCCACTTATTTTGTTAATAAATAAAAACCTTTTTTCAAGCTTTCAACGTGACCTCTCGTGGCATAAAATCGATATATTCAATGCTAGTTGCAGCTTGTTGTTACTTGTAGCTAAACAGTCATCGCGTTATTGTATTATGAAATAACTGCCATAGACTGTAAAGTCATTTTTTAAGATCAATAGGATCAGAAGTAACATTTTTAAAGAAAAGTTCTTGAAGTTCACACAAAACACCCTCTACCAAGTCTGGTAGTAAACTTAAAAAAAATGACAAAGTTATTATTTGTTATTATTCAACTTAATAACACGTCTGTGACCTGCCGATTCAAATATATGCCAGTCATCGTAATCTGCAATTAAACACGCTAAAGTTACGAATATTCATTATGACGCATTCAAAAGCTACAAAGTAAGATTATTAATGAACGAGTCTGGAATGTAAGTAGGTCACACACGCTTTGTACTCGGTTCTTTTGTGTACTTTTTGTCGCTTAGCAAGTCATCTACGAGTCGCCATCTTTTAAGCTCGACTGACCGCAAAGGGACCGACGATGTCAAGTATTCGGGGTCCGTGAGCTTTTATTGTTTCGTAACTTTCAAGCTTAACGAATTCAGTCCGCCTTGAGTAGTGAATAACTTTGCTATTTACGGTGATATTGGAATAGTTGGGCAGCTGTAAAATTTATTAATGTTGACGTTGGAAAATAAATTTCTTTTTATAGTAATATCGAACAGGTTAAATTTACCTTAAAGAATAGTAAAATTGTGAATGGTATATTAATATTATATGATTTTTACGAGCTAAGACATCACGTGTTTATTCATGCTCTAAGATGTAGTGATTGCTATTAACAAATAAGTAATTTGCATCGACCAATACGTTGTGAACAAGGTTACATTGTCTTAATTCTAAACACACTACGTAACGTGATATATTGGTATGCTGGAATATATTCCTGCCAAGATTAACAATAGGTTTTGCTTCAATCAATCCTACAGAGCATAGATTGTGTTTAAATGGAATAATATCTTACGTATGCTGGCAGCGTGTTACATAGGTGAGATTGTAGATCAATTAATGTAAGCCGTTAACTCTGAAACACATGACAGTTTCTTGTCTGAACATATTATACAAATAGAATGAATCGATCATATCATGAGAAAGTACAAGGAAGCGAATGTTAACAGAATAAGGTGTAATAGAAATCTATAAGACAGAGACGATTCTACAATTTTTTTTATCATTACCGAATGATGTAGGTTCTTCGGACGATTTTATTGGATAGTAGGATTTTTTTGTCTTAGTATTCGGTTTTGTTAATTAACTAATATTTCTTGTAACCATTCTAAATATGCTAGAAGTTTTATCAATACAGTGCATGACAATAGTCGGATGATGGGATTCAAAATTATAACCAGTGGATCCATAATCCTTATTCTAAACTATTAGGCTATTGACACTTCTAACGATTGGTAATAATAATTTTGAAAAACAATTCGTTTCCAGGTGGAGTGGGAGGAACCGGCGTCATTCTGGTTGGGACCGAGGGCGGCAGATCTCATACATTTAGGAGCTAAGTTTGCGCCGTGCATGCGGCGAGACGCGAGGATAGCGCGAGCGATAGCGGCATCTGCGAGGAGGGAGCGGGACACAGCGTGTTGCATACGTAACGATGATTCCGGTTGCGTGCAGTCTTCTAAAGCTGATTGTTCGGTAAAAATAATACAATTCTTTTCGTCTATTACAACAAAGAAGAATTAGAAAATATAATCGGATCTGCTAACTCGACCCGTTAATTATTATCTAACTTGTCTTCAACAGAATACTGTTGGGCCTTATTTATACAGGTATTATTGTATTTGTTAGTAAACATTTTTGGTTTGAATATATGACACAACAGTGGGTTTCTACAGCTAAAGAATCAAAAGTGTAACAATATATTCGGCCGTGGTTAACTTTTAATCTTCGACTATTAGAAGTGAAGAGACATCAAGCGATATATTTGCAAAGACTAGACCAGTGTATTCAACATTATACGCATATCCTTGTTCTTCTACAGTTCAGTCAGTTAACGATAGTAAGAAATTATATTAAAGATTGGTTAGTAACAAGTACTGCGACATTGTATCAATTCAGATAAACTTTTCCGCAATCGGGCAACGCGATTGAGGACTTAGTTACAATAAATCTGAATTGTAACCTTGAAATTCTTACTAGTTAGTACTAGAAATTATCAGCTACATCTACGCTATAGCCACTAGAGAACTAAAGGAGTTAGATATAGATAAAATTGTTTATAAATGTCAACTTTAAGATTATTACGATAAAAAACACAGATCAATATATTGTGACTAATAATTCTTCAAATTCTGACAACCGATGACAGAAATAATAAAAATATGAACCTCCTATTAGCACAAATGGGATTATAGTTTTTGGCATTGCACAAAATAATAACGTATCCATTTACATTTTTATCCATCCATTAAAATTTACCGCCCAAGGATTTGTTTTGTTTGGTACAATGGTTTTGTAAAAGACAATGTTTACACTTCTCCATATTCTCCAGATATTAAGAATGTTAGTTATAATTATTGATTAATATTTCCTACTTTTATATATTTATAAATGATTTTATAATATGAATATTTTTCATGCAAACGTAAAGATAAGAGGATTGGTAGCAAAGGTGAGAAATTGATATTTATATTATTTGATTATAAGATTACTTATTTCTAAGCAATAGTGATAAAAATAAAGATTTATTGAAAAGCCTACAATAGTTGATTTATCGCTAAATAGTAAATGAAAAAATAATAAGTTACCAATACTTAGATTTTATTGTATTATATAATATGCTTTAGAAACAAAACAAATTTATGTTTTTTTTCTTCATAGAATACAATATCAACGTGGAAGAAGTGGTCATCAGGAGAATCTGGTCCAGGCGGTCGGATATCGGGATCTGTTTGCGGATTGGATCCAAAGTAAGTAGAGATGATAAAATCTATATCTACAGGGTCATCTAAGGTTAAGTGATCACCGTTGTAAATATCTATAACATTATTTAAACTAAGGTCAGCGACCGACTTTGAAATGATGTCCTTTTGTTAAAGAGTAGTAAGGAAAAGAGCTTAGTTTTGACGCTGACATACACACTCAATCTCCGTTAAATGTAGAATTCGTAGAACCACTTTTCATTTGTTGAAATTATACATAGTTAAATTTAAATTAATTTCCAGATTTTGCGAAGCTCCGAGATCGATAGCACCTCACGAATGGCCGGACGATATAACAAAATGGCCAATCTGCCGCAAGTCTGTAGTAGATGGGAGTTCACCGACAGGGCGAGCTGGGCACGCGGCGGAGCACATGGCGTGCGAGGTCATCGCGCACCCCTGCTGCATCGGCGTCCATGGCCAGTGTGTCATCACCACAAGCGAGCATTGCGACTTCATCAAAGGATACTTCCACGAAGAGGCATCTTTGTGTTCACAGGTAAACATAGCAGTGAAATATTATAATCTTACTTTGCTAATGTAACCAGACTCAAACATGCAGACATCATGTAAAACCTTTAAAGCGCCAATTGTGAAGGAAACATTCAGCAAATTCATAAGATACTGGTGTTGTTTAACAATATAACGAAACATAATTGTTTTTCACCTTTTTCAGGTTTCGTGCCTCGATGATGTTTGTGGAATGCTACCATTCATGCGAAGACGTCGACCAGACCAGTTGTATCGTGCGTGGACTTCATTGTTCGTGCACGCTGGATTATTACATCTAGCTGCTACACTCGCTATCCAATGGCTATTCATGAGAGATCTAGAGAAAATGGCCGGTCCTGTAAGAATCGCAGTGGTGTACTTGGGTAGTGGGGTAGCTGGAAATATGGCGTCTGCTATTTTCGAACCTTATCGAGCTGAGGTATGTCATTAGTTTTGTAACACCTAATACATTTTGTTTCTATGTACTATATCTGTGTTTTCTCATTTCAGGTCGGTCCGGCGGGTTCTCATTTCGGTCTTCTCGCGTGTTTAATTGTGGAAGTGATCGGTGCGTGGCCTTTGTTAAAGCATCCTAAACGCGCTCTTATGAAACTAGTCGGACTAGCAGTGGCGTTGTTCCTCCTCGGCTTATTACCATGGATCGACAATTTCGCGCATGTGTTCGGTTTCGTATTTGGTTTTCTTCTTTCGTATGCGTTGTTACCGTTTATAACATTCGGTCCGTACGAAAGGCGGAGAAAGATTATATTGGTATGGGTGTGTTTAATATCAGCGTTGGGTATGTTGTGTTCTTTGATTGCGCTGTTCTACGCGGCGCCGGCGTACGAGTGCTCGGTGTGCGCGTACTTTACGTGTCTGCCGTTCGCGCCGGATATGTGCGCGTCGCAGGATGTGCGCGTGCGGCAGCTGGACGGCGTATGACGGCGCGCGGCCCGGGCGCCCCCGCCGCTGCCGCCCCCTTGCCCCGCGCACTGCCCGACCCGCAGCCGCCCTACACCCAGCCGCCGCGTTGCGCACTCATAGTGCCACCTCTACATTCTCTAAAGTACCAAATTAAACGTAAAAACTTTAATGAACATTCTAATGTCATCTACAAGTTTATCGTCTACAGTTTGGGGCAGATGAAAATCTTACAACTAGTGCATCAGAAAGCTATACCAGTTTCTAAGTACATGATTTGCTTAACCGAGATATCAATGAAAAAACTTAATACGTTAATATAGACTGTAATTGATGAGAATGTAGAGTTAACAAGAACTGCCTTCGATGTAACCATCCTTTGAACACCACAGCATTATTGTGTGCTCTCTATAAAAGCTCAAATGCGTTCTGCGGAAAGGGGCGCTATGTAATTTTTTACTGCTTAAGCTATTGTTTAAGGTTTTATAATTATCAAATTAGACTTATATCACTTATGTGTACGCGAATAAATCATTTATTACTTTTAATGGACCATAGAGACTTATTATTGCATAATCGAACTCTTTGTCACGTTATTTTACTCACTATTTCTAGATTTATAGTCCCCCGCTTTCGGCGTCCGCAGATTTAGGTTATAAGCATCTTAACTGATTGTTATACCACATGTATATATTGTATGTATGGGGTATAGCGATAAATTGTTTATTATCTAGTATGTAATTGTGTTAAGGTGCTTTTAAAATAAATTTGATGTGAAGTAACCCGTGATGTTTGTGATACCTGACTCTAGGCATGTACTCTCGAGTACTTGCTTGATCGAATGCGACGATAATGTAAATATTGTGTAAAATATACACACTTATGATTCTTTAATAAGCTGTATGTATGTACGTGTTATTTGTCACAATGTTTTTATCTGCGGTGCCTTTACGGGAGTTGCGGTATGCCACAATTATTCAGTTTTCTTTTTATCAAGACTGATGACAGTAACCAGCAAAAGTTTCCGTGTGTTTTTGTGGAAAATTCAACTATGCTTAGTGTTATTTTTTTTTTCAAAATGTTTTGAATAATTTTCTTTGTATTTTACTTCAATTTACGCATTCATTGTTTCCGTTGATCGTTTGGACCTCTGCCTTATAAAAAAATATTAAAACATATCTTCTTTGTGTAAACATCGCTCTTTGTGTCTAAAACCTTAACAATTTTCAGGATTGCATTGCATCTTGCATCTTATAGTTCAGTAACGCACAAACTTTGATATTATTTTAAGGCAAATCTTTATCAAGCAGCAAATTAAAGAATAGAAGATAACGTGTTGATATGTTTTAATTTCAATTATGGAAAATCATTTCGAACTAAACAATTTTTTTTTGTAAATTGTTTTTTTTGCTTTAAAATCTTAATTCAAATTGTGAAAAAGAATGCGACAATTAGGATAAAAAGTATTTTTATACAACGTCTTCATTTTGTAAATTCTCGATTGTGACATAATTTCCCGTAGCCGCGGAGACAAAAACTACATAATTTAGTATATTACTAAATAATGTAAATAGCGTGTACAAGTAAATAATAAAATTGATCAATTTGGTTCATTGTATTAAAAGTATTAAATAGGAAAGTTGATAATGTTTTAATTTTTGTCAATTTAAATAGTATGGAGAAGTCTGTGTAGGTTTAACGAGTTATTTTACATAGTATGCTAGTAATATTTTTGTCTATAAATATATATTTTAGTTAACATATAAGACGATGACTTTTAATTTTTATCGCTTATTTGGAATAAGGACTATCTAATACCTAACCTTGCTATAAATAATATATATATTTTTTTATATCATAAGGTGGCAAACGAGCGAGCGGCCACCCGAAATCGCTGAAATAGCGAAGTGACCGTTGCCCATAGACATACGCAATCGCATATGCGTTGCCTACCTTTAATCGCCGGAGGAGAGGATGCACAGAAAGAAAATATCTTACCTTTCCTTGCATCCTCTCATCCGGAAAGTCCACTTCCACTTCCCACCCTTTTCTTTTTATGGAAGGGAAAGAGGACTAAATTAGGCCTCCGGGACGCACACTCATCAGACGAAACGCGGAATTGCTTCCACTTCACGCCTGTTTTCTGTGTGGTCGTGGTTTTTCACCGGGCGAGCCGGGCCAATTCGTGTGAAGATGTTAAAGCGGGCTCTACCACTGTTAAATAATATCCAAAAGCTATTAAATATTGTATTTATATTTTCTAAGTTAGTTTACATTGCATTCACCAAAATTACGTGGTTAACGTGGGTTTCTAATAACGATAGGTACATCTAATATTACAATGTCATCTCTTTTATTTCCTCTGAATAATAAGGTATATATATCACCGTACAGGTGTTTCGGAAGTGAAAACCAACGGTTACAAATTTTTCCATTAGGAAGTGTGCAAATCGAATAGATTGGCGTTGTATACGTTCGGCTTTCGCGGGCCAATAGCAAAACGACTTAACTTTTTATTTACATATGATTTTTTTATGTTTATCTTTTATTTTGGAAATAATTACGTAGTTTAATGAGTTAGTCCTTATTCCAAATGCATCCATTTGTTTCGTTAAGCCTTAAATGATCTCAATTATTTCTTCAGATCAGTTTTTTTTTGTTTTTTTCAGACATTGGAAGCCAACAGAATGTAATAAAAAGTAAATTTTATACAGTATAAGAATCATTGTAGATATGTATATCAAATCTTTTTGTAGAACATAGTAAACAAAACTTGAGCCACACAGAGTTGTTAAATGGCCACTCAGGATGACCCTTAGTGTAGATATTTTAATGCATTCGGATACATGAATTTGCTAACATAGTAAAGTGATCGTTGCCCATAGACATTCGCATTTTTATAGATGTGTTGCCTACCGGGGAGGGGACGAACAGAAAGGGAATATTACCCGTTCCTATGGCTCATTATCAGCCAAATTTACAGCTTTTATAAGGAAGGGATGGAAAGGACGAGAGAACCTTAATAAGGCCTAGGGCACACTAAACATAACAATTACGGTTTTGCTTCCATTTCATGAGTGTCTTCTGATGGGTCGGATTATCTGGCCCTTTCATGAATAATGTGTTGTTGCGGGCCATACCACTATTTACCTTGATTCGTATAAAACTAGACTAAGCAACTGCTTAATTAACCATAAAACTACTCTGTGTGGTAAATACGTTGGATATGTTCTGACTTGATAACATGGCACATAAGTTATTTTTGTATTGATAGTAATAAACGTTAATGGACACGCATCACTAAAATAGCAATAATGTTAATTTAAATTATTTCAATTCTGTAAATCGCTTTTGATAGGATGTTTTTGGAATAATCAAATAATTTAATATTTTACAATTGCAATATAATACACTATATAACCAGATTTGGTTAAGAAACATTCATATTATGTTTTTGCTGGTTGTAGTGTTGAAATTTCTTTGAATTTTTTTTTTGTTTAATAACATTAATCTTCGGATTTGAACTTTTGAACTCTGTACACAGGACAAAACTTGACATGATTTCAATGATTTTCTTAAGTATGTTAATTTTTATGCTTTACTTCGATATATATTTACTATATAAAAAACTGTTTACTATTAACATATTATTTAGAATTTTTAATTGTAAATAGATTTAAATTTTGCAATAAATATAAATAGAGTTACTTTTGCGATCGAAAGGTTTAAATATTATTTGTAAGTGATATATTTTTCGCACAAAATTCTAAAATGTATAAAAGCTGTTGTTTATACTGTAATTTAATTTAACTGTTGGTTTTCACTGTCGTAACACATGTCCTTATAAAAGACCATATCTTTAAAAATCAGAGACAACAGTGTTTAAATAAACGTGTTACGGCAGTGAAACTTCACGGTACAACAATTGTTTTATACCCAATGTCCTATGTCAGGGGTGTCGAACCTTTTGTTAACGTACCATTTTTCTAAAGAGTTGTTAAGGTCAAAGACGTGACATTAAATAATTATGATTTTGTTGTAGGGATTACTTTTTTTCTCTTGACATGGAATACCTATTTCATATGTTTCTGCATTGCAAATTTTATGATGATATGTCCAAAACATTGTTTTCCCATTGGTTCGATACCCCTGCCCTATGTTGTAATGACATACGATAAGTAAATTTTGTAACTCGATATAGTGATGTGAGCCAATAACTTTAAAATTCTTAATACCACTTCAAAGATATCTGTCACTCAAATGATGATCTGTTAAACCTTTTTTGATCGTTTTGGTGTTGTGTAAACGGTTCTTTACAAGAGGTCGGGTTTGTTTGTAGGTTTTATCATAACAAGTGGATTATCAAAAACATTAATATGGTTTAAAGATTATTTACATTGTAATTTTGAATTGTTTGTATGTGTGTATGTCGTGTGATTTGTATGGTGTTGAGTATATTGCTGATTAATATTATTTCGTCTAAGTAAATTGTCTGCGAAATTATCTCGAAGTGCCCTTGCGGCCGGCGGCCCGGCGAACTGTTCTCAGAATTTAACTTTAAGACAAAAAAAAAATTACATACATATTGTACATTGTGAACATACAAGTAATTAATATTCTATCACATAAGGAAATGGTAAAGTAATCTTATTGTAAACTAGCATTAATCGAACAAGAAACTTATTATCATAATATTATTGACTTTTATTTTACTTTTTTATTTTATAATAGCACGAGAATCATTTTATAGTCAAACAAGGATATCTGGCCCGATGAGCGGCGCTGCTATCGCGACTAGTTTCATCACAAAATATGTAAAAGATACATGGGCATACAGAGCCAACCAAAAGACCTTGTGACACTTTTTTAATATAGAAAAGAGGTCGCTAGTGAGTTATCTTAAATTAGTTTGACTTATACCCACCGGGTCAAATAGCCTTGTCGGTCTATATTTCCCGTCCTACAACCATCTTGACAATAATCCATCATCTTTCATTTCCATTCCTTCGATCTGTATTTTATTGGTCACAACCTACTTCATTTTTCCTTTTATAAACATTGTAGGTAACATTTTAGGCATAAGCTATGATATATGTAAAACATACGATAGTTAAAGCAGACAAGATAAGGTAAGGACCTAAACATTGATGTTATCTCGACATTCGACAATGAAATATCAGATATTTATCACTACGTAATTTAGAATGTAGCGTGACTTGTTGCGGAGATATTCAGTATCTCGTAGACGAAATTCAAAAACATTTTTTAATCAAAAAAAACAAAAGACTGCTACTTTTTGACATTGGCAGGAGGGCGCTAGTGAACTATCATAATTTAGTTTGACTTATGACCACCGGGACAAATAACTATGACGGTCTATACTATGAGTCACGACTGCAGAGACATATTGTCATCCCTTAAATTCTGTTTTGAAAAACAGAGAACATGTGCCACCACAAGTTCCACGACAGTCAAAACACAATCAGTTTTAAGTAGCTCAAATTCGATCAAACAAAAAACAATAACTTTCTCCTTATCTCAACCTTCTGACTCACGTCAAGTTAAGTCTTTTTTGACGTTATCTAGAGCCTCCTATTGCATAACGAGGGCTTAAATCTTGTACGTAATAAAAGTACTCCTATTTCCATACATACCTACATATAAGTACAATATCTGCATATTTATTTGTTTTGGCAATCCACGTTTGCCGAGTCATTGATCGGACCACAAGTAAAGGCGATCTCAAGATAAAGATATAGAGTTGATAATATCAATATCAACAGACTTTAAAATTTAGATATTTTACATGCATGTAAATTGACATATCCGGTAGAACCTCTTTTTCATCATATTATGGTTATTCTTCCTTCCAATTTATACTCTCTTCTAATAAGGAAAGGGTGGGAATATTTGGATTTATGGTGAGAGGACAGGAATAGGTTTTTTTTTATATACATCCTCTCTTCTATAAAATAACGGTAAGCTTTTGTAACTGTTAAACTTGTTCTACATGCCTAGGTTCACCATGTGACCATGATTTTAGTAAAAATCTTAATCTAAATCCGAAAATAATATTAGTAAGAAAATCTAACAGTAAGCTTCATTAAGCCGTCTTTTTATTTACTCACATCAAAACAAGTCGCAGACACAACAAAGTTTTATTTTTAAATTGTTTTATAAAAGAAAGTAATTGGCAATTGAGGATATTTTTTTAAGCCAAACTGGTTTATTAAGCATAATAATCGCACTGTTGAATTGCACCAGGATAAGACATAATAATGGAAACAAAATAAGGTATTCAAATTAATCGAATGGCTTTATTTTAGTTACTTAAAAATAATTAAAACAAAAGAAAAAAATGTCATACTTATAATTTTAAAAAATACAAAAAGAGTTTCCATTTTCATAATGACTGTATAAAACACGCTCTTTGTTTTTAAGGATATCAGCAATGAAACCTGACAGTAATATTTCTGAGTAACTGGCGATGTTTTATTGTGCGTTGTATACCTACTGTCTCCATAGTTCGACCAATTTTGAAAATGGGTTTGATATTAGAAATTTTTTATCCGTAAAGTAACATGTTACATTAATTCTAAATTACTAAAACTTCTAAATTAATAAAACGAAACAAAATGTAAAGGTCTTTTCCCACTATGGTTGGCACTTTAACATGTTACATTAAGACATTCGCTATGGAAGGAATGTGGAAAGGACTCGCGATTTTTACTTATACATATATTTTGTTTTGTTCTGTTTTATTTTATTATATATTGGATGTTGTAACATCTTATGTATAAAATTCTCGTGTCACAATTTTCGT